AAAACAAGATCAAAAAGACTTTTTGGCTGACATAAGATTTTAAAACTTGGTTAGATGGACAGGTTTTGCAGTGTACTTGTGACGGTAGTAATTATTAACCAAGGTGTGTGTGTGTGTGTGTGTGTCACCATCGTTAATAACAGCCGTCAGCACACCAACATGTCTGTTGAGGGAAAGACACTGCAGGTCTCTGAATCCTGGGGCTCCTCTGGGACATGCAGGTCCTTCACAAGCTCTGTGCTCCACACTGGATTCTGGACAATGCCTTCCATCTGGACCAGGCCTTACATCAACACAAACACACACAGAAGAACTTCTGATTGCTGGGTTGCAGTCACATGACCCAGACGACGTGTGAACGTCAGAAGGGGGACAGGAAGTGATTTGTTCTGGTTCAAACACAGTGAAATGGATCACACACACAGAGTACGATAATGCCCTAAATGAGCTGGTGCAGACAAGATACCACAAAAAATCTGCGTACATTTAGGATCTGATTCATGTTATCTTAATAAAAAAAGACTTGTTATATAATCTGTAGGATTTACCTGGTGTTGAGACGATCAACATAAACTAGCTGCTGCTGCAGACCTCATGTTAGCGGCTACGATGAGCTAAAGGAAAGCTTTCAAAAGCCTCAAAGCTACAATTATTTAGTTTCATGTTGGGTCAAACATTTAGGATCAAAGAAACTTTAAATATCTGTTGACTTGTTTCTGCCTGGGTCAGCTGTGCTGTTTTAAGTAGTTAGCATATGATAACAACGCTATCGCTAACAAGTTTAACAATGCTTGGATCTACTTGCTAATATTTTATTTAGCTTCTGTAAACCCAAATTCAAGTATCTATCCAGGAAAATATCTGACAATATGATTTAAACCAGCGGTTCTTAACCTTTTTGACCTCGGGGCCTAATTTATTGAACAAAGTGTCACGAGGTCAGTCACACATTAACAACATGATCAACATGATAATTATTATAAATCTTGGTTTAAATTTTATTGTTTTTACATCATAACTAAACTATCATAACTAACATAACTAAATTAAATACACGTACAGTTTAAAAGTAAAACTCCTGTCAAATAATCACAAGACATGATTATAACAAACATTTTATATTGTAACCTGCCCATAACTATTATTTGAACAAATACAAAGGTCAGTCATCAGACCACTCAGGCTTATCAACACAACTAAGTTAGCTTAACTAAGTAAACCAACTGACTTAGAAATCTTTAGTAAAAATAAATTAAACAATAAAAAATACAAAAACAACATCAACAATAAATATTTAAACTAAGGGAAACTAAATAAAAATAAAACAATAATAATGAAATAAAATGGGTTTAAATC